GTAACGAGAAGGCCAATGAAAAGCACTATGATTTTTATTTCTGACATTCATTATTTTTTTTTCTTAATCAAGATCTTCCTTAATATGTTACATCTGACTCATATGATCCTGACTTCATGGTTGATCCTCCACCTCCATTTTCACATTAGAGTGATTATGAAGATCATGTCAGAGCATTTGGTCTTGCAGTCATGAGTGTTCTTTCTATATGATGATGAGATGGATAAGGTTTAAATGTCCAAATTATTCTGTGTAATAAACAAGTCATAATGCACTAGACATTCAATTCCTAATACCACCTACTCATTACTTTTAGATGGCTGAACTAACCAAAAGCAATGACTGTAGAGTAATGCTGTGCATATATAGGGGAAGACTTATGGGAACCAAAGTCCCCTTAGCCTCCATCACTGAGAGACTGGGAAAATGCCCGATAGGACCGTTCACTATATTGACAATGAGGAGAGAGAATATATAAAGAACACGAGGAGACTGAAGAGAATATGACAAACTTAACTATATGAGATTTCGCGGCAATAATTTTGAAACCCTAGAGTTGGCACGGTTGATTAAGATATAAGGGAATTTCTAGTTCGGGAATTGCAAGTTACTTCCTCAAATTTCAATATCTAAGTGTAAAATGTTATGAGTCAAGATCGTATGTACAGTTCAAAGTCTTGAACTTAACTGGTTTATGGGGCTTGCGGGATATTTCATGTGCCTCCAAGTTGCCGGATCTCTGTGCTCATGCTACTGATTTATCAAACCGAAAAGAAAAGGCAGTCAATTACCTTAGTTATTGAACTATTAGAAAAATGTAATTCTCCTTACTTTCAAACTTCCTAATTATCTGACCAAAAAAAAAAACGTCCTAATTAATTCGATCTGTTGTGAGGAGTGCATATAGCTATCATCTCTCCTCAAATGAAATCTCAACAACGTTTCTCTTTGATTCCATCATTTTTCACCTCACTTCCTCTTCAGAATCTCAGGTTGTTAATCTTTTGCTCAATCCCACTTTCAATGCATACCTAAACATGCCATTATGGAAAAACCCATGATGCTCACCGAGTCAAATACTGCCCTAACTAGTTTGTGTCTCACTTAAGTTAAATTGGGTTTGGGGGTTTCATTTCAACTCCAAACCTCCACGCCATTGCCTCTTTCTTTTTCTTTTCAATGCTTGACTAAGTCAAGGACCAAATCTTTATCCCAACCTAGCAATCACAAAGACATTAAACGCCAACATCATCATCAATTGCGAATCGGTCCCACCGCCCCTAGGCATGAGTCGCCATCACCCTACAAAGTTCATCATTGTAGTATATGTTTTGCGCTTTATTTAATCCGGTCCCCCATGAACCCAAAAAAGAAAAGGTCAAAGGGAATATTGTGTTTTTTTGCCCCTCGGAAAACCCATATTTCTCAAGGCTTTCTTTTGGAGAAAACAAAGATAAAGTGGATAAAAGGGACTAATCTGCCATGTGAGTTTGGTCAGGCACTAAAGCCAATGGTCAAAGAAGTTGAATGGATCGGTGAGTGATTTTCAAAAGTTAGGTGCACGAAAAGTTGATTAAACGAAGTAGAACCGTTTTCTCACTTAACCCAAACACGTTACTCACACAAACAAAACGACCACCAAATGATTGTCTTGTTTCACTTTTTGAGTGGGACCCCCCTCGTTTCTTTGTATTCCCATTTTACACCCCAAAAGAGAGAGAGAGAGAGAGGAAAAGGAAAAGAAAAAGATTGCTTAGGGGGGAAAAAGGGATTATTTAGAAGGTTCTTTTGCGGTCCTTGTTGTTTGGTCCATCTTGCTTCGTTAAAGCAGAGGGGATCATTGTGTTCTATACAGCCACATGCCCCTCGAGCCATGATGTTAATCAAGTTCTGCTTGCAAATGTGATGATTAAACATAAGTATGAATGTCCTCTTTTTTTCCTCCTCTTTCCTTTTACTTTTTTAAGGTAAGAAAGATGGATAAAGATGTGATGAAGGTAATGCATGTCCAACTTTGTGAATCTGTCTATCTACCACAGCACTGAAGATCAAGAAAAACAGCAAGTGGGGTTGAGGTTAATGCGAGAATTCATTGCGCATTCGTTGATTTCATTGATGTTTGTTTTCTTCGCTTGATTTTGTTGCCTAACTTTCATTTATGGAAATACGATCCTTCTTTAAACTTGTATGTCACAAAAGAAAAATGTATGAGCAGGATCCCTCAATGAAGTTGGTGAAAAGTTGGGTGGCTAGGGTTTTCGAAGACTCTGGTATCTATTCACTGTAATTGGATAACGATGAGCTTCAGAGATTACATCTTGATTTCTATGCTTTCGCTAACATGGCAAAGAACACATTACTTTTCGACTATAAGAAAAGGAAACAAGGAAATTCTTGGTGCAGTAGATTTTACTTGGAAGAAAATTTTCACTTGCGTGATTATATAAATGGCAGGGTTTTTCCGCTGGTTAGAAGCAAAGAAAGGTCCTATGAGGCTACGAGCTCAGCCTTCACGTGCCCAGAAAGCGCACAGAGAAATATGAAAATGCCCTTCTTTTGGCCCTCAACGATGAATCCCATACACACATGCCAAACACTCTCGGATACGAAAATCTTACTCTAAAGTTATAAAATGACAAGGGCCCTTGAAAATTTGACTTCTCTGACAAAACGATCAGTATCTAGGTAAACACCACGTAGTAACTGCTAAAAACACCACAAAACTTTCATTTTCATAAGGTGCCGAGCCCATCGTTTTACTAATGTCGTCTTCCACATTGACTTCGCTCTTTGATCAAATCCACGTAAAAAAACCTCAATCTCTGTACTTAGCTTCGCGCCTAGGGTTTAATGCACAGACACAAGCGAGCACAGACTAAAATTCACCCATGCATGCAAGTGCTGTACGCAGAATTTGTCGTATCGATAGTTTTGGCTTGCTTGGAAGGACGAGAGCTTCTCGCTCGGTGCAAGGACATTAAACGATAAGCCCGAAGCTGCCAAACTGACCTTTGTATTATATTGTTTGGAGGGTTGTCGTCGTGGGAATGGAGGGGTGGACTTTCATGTATGATTCTCTTTATTTTTATTTTTATTTCATTTCACTATTTGTTTTGCCTCCTTGGAGTGGTTACATGATTTAATGTGAAGGAGCAGCAAGGATTTCAAACTTGTCATTTTCCCTAGGGTTTGCTGATGAAATGATCACTGCACATGTCTGACTTAGGCGATTGGTGACCTTCTCTTCTTGGTCAAGATGCTGGGGTCTCTGATCAAGGAAAGGACTTTGATGTTTGTGAATTTGGCAAGTCAAATTTTCTTCATCTCTAAGATCATGATTCGGGGAACTTTAGGGTATGATCGAGAGAGCTGGAAAGTAACTCTGCAAGGTTTGGTTGAGTTAGGTAAGATCATTGCAGCTTCGGATCTTAGGAAGCATGAGGTTGCAGATTCGATTCGCACTCGACACATCATAAGGTCTCTTGAAGCGCATGCACTAATGTAGTAATTCCAAGATGAATAACGAAAGCCATTTGATCGGTCCTAGAGACGGTTTGGTTTGATGTTCAAAAATGATCCGAAGATGCCGACCACGACACCAAGTTAAGCAAAAGAACATATACAGGGATTGGGTGACTCCACAAGATTAGTCAATATTATTTAAAAAGTTTGGGGGAAATACTTGCATAGACTTGAGTTTGCTAGAATTTGTGGGATTCACACGAAATGCACATGATCAAAGGTCGTGATTGATCCCATTCATTATCGATTATATTCAAGTAAGTATTTGCCAAAAGTTTGGATGCTCAACGTGACCGCAGAACTAGGCAAAGTTATGGATTCTACATTCTTTTGTTTGCCTAACAGAGTCCAGCCAACTCTTATGTTGCGTGTGGGAAGGAGGGGATGGGGAGGAAATGAGGGGTGGATGTCAAAAATAAGATAGATTATAAAACTTTTTTGAATAGGAGAGGATGAAAATTCAAAATTATCTCTCAATTTGCTTCTCCATCTGTTCCCAACACTGCCTAGAGGCATTTTTTTTTAATTGTTAACTCAATGTCACATGTTCAAATCCAACCAAACACGAGCATACTAAATTCATGCCCAAATCAAAAGTCTAGACTTAATTGTTTCACGAGCCTTATAGGGTATTTTATAAACCCTTAATTAGCCGAGCACTATATGGTTATGTCCCAAAATCATAGAAAGTATACATGTATATAACGATAGTGGAGAGATTTGTCTGGAGCAACTACCTTTCTAAACATTATAAACTTGTTAAGAATGTTCGAATTTAAGATATAGATACTCAATTTACTTATAAATACACCAATCCGTCATTATAGTCCTATCGACATACGAGAAAGCAAAAGGCCTCTCCACGTGAATATCAAATGTACAATGGACAAATCCGATGTCAAATGTTCAAACCCGACCAAACGCGACTAAACTACTCTAGATACGGGATTTGTGCCTAAGCCAAAAGTCTGGACTTAATTGATTCATGAGCCTTGTAGGGCATTTTATAAACCCTTAATTAGCCGAGCACTTCATGCTTATGTCCCAAAATTATAAAAAAGCATACAAATATATAACGAAAATGGAGAGCAACGACCTTTCTAAACATTATAACAAGAGTTTCATACTCGATATGAATATTCAAATTTAAGATATAAATAATCGATTTTACTTGTACGTACATGACCCGTCGCTGCCGTCCCATCGACGTACGTACGAGAAGGCAAAAGGGCCTCTTCACGTGAACATGAAATGTACAAATATCAAATGTACAATGGACAAATCGATGGCGAATTCACTCCAATTCTTAAAGCACGTGGATCCCCCCGCCCCCCCACGCAAATACACTAGAAAAATCTCAACCGTTGGGTCGGTCAACTTCGATCGTTATGGACGGTCGAGATTCGGCGGAGCAATAAGAAGAGGATGAAAAAAATTTCCGAAAGAAGAAGCTGACAAAGGTTGCGCGCAGCGAAACGAGCGGTGAGCCTCGACACCATCCGATCGCCACCTTCCCCGACCTTGGAATTTCCCACCTCCTCCCCCATAAGACCACAACCTCGCTCCCCTTCTCCATCTCCATCTCCATCTCCATCTCCATCTCTCTCTCTCTCTACTGCTGCTGCTGCTCGCTCTCGTCGCCAACCATGGCTCGTCCAGTATTGTTCCTCTGAAACCCCCGATCACGCATTCGCCGTCGCCGTCTCCGTCGCCGTCGCCGCCGTGGTGGGCGATGGAGTTCGATCTGGAAAACCCGCTCACCAACTTCGACGACCGCTTCCCCGACAAGTCCTTCCTCTTCCTCGTCGAGTCGGACCACATGCCGTCCGAGAAGTACGTCGCCGGCCTTCGGTCGGTCGGCTGCTCCTTCTCCTCCGACGATCTCTCCGTTCGGCGGGACGTCGTCTCTTCGGTCTCGCAGGTTCTCGATCGCGGCAATCGCAATCTTTCTGTCCCTCTGTCTCTCTCTCTCTGGGGCAAGTTTGTTCACGTTCTTCTTCTTCTTCTTCTTCTTCTTCTTCTTCTTCTTCTTGGGGTGGTTTTGCAGTTGTCTTGCGGCTTCGATCCGGCGCTGTCGTACCTCGCGATCAATTACGTCGATCGGTTCTTGTCCTCCCATAAATTGCAGGTTGATGAAAATGCGCATTGCTTCTCTTGTTTTTGCCGCCTTCTCTCGTGGTGTTGAACCGAGACCCGTTGTTCTTTTTATTTTATTTTTCTGGGTTTCCGCGTTCTGCGTTGCTTTTTAGGTTTGACTCTGTTTTATCGCCTCCTGAAATTTGGGGTTCTTTCGGTTCTTTTTGCAGAAACCGAAGCCATGGGTCTTGAGGCTTCTCGCCGTTTCTTGCGTGGCTCTGGCCGCGAAAATGCTGAAGACAGAGATCGCTCTCGCTGATGTTCAGGTAAACGTGGAAGAATTCTAGCTCAAAAACTGGAAGAAAGAGAATACGTATTACTTCTGTTTCGCTTGAATTCGGGACCCATCGTGATATTTCTTTTGGGTTTGGTGCAGAGCGATGGAGGAGGTTTCATATTCGACGCACATTCGATACAGAAGATGGAGTTACTCGTGTTGGGGGCTCTCCAGTGGCGAATGCGCTCGATCACTCCCTTCTGTTTCATCTCCTTCTTCGTCTCTCTGTTCGAACTCCGAGACCCGCCACTGGGGCAGGCTATCCAAGCTCGAGCGAGCGAGATCATCCTCAAAGCTCAGAATGGTACTACAGAGAGACCCATTCTAGCATTTTGTTTTCTCTCTCTGCCAGGCAAAACTTATAAGACAAAGCCTGATAAATGTTCTTTTGTTTGGGGACAGATATCAAGCTTCTGGAGTTCAAGCCCTCAATAACAGCAGCGTCAGCGCTTCTCTGCGCTTGTCATGAGCTATTCCCCTTGCAATTTGCGAGCTTCAAGAGCGACATCTCCAGTTGTTCGTATGTAAATAAGGTAATCGCTAATCCCAGTCCAACTTAAACATTGTTTATGCTTTAATTAATAAGCGACTCTTGTCATCTTGTCCTGTCAGAAAGTACAATGTGTTGCTTTGCTACAGAGTCCAAGATGGGTTACACTTCCAAAAGCAAGATCTTTTATAATTTTCTTTTGGTTTAAAAGAAATGGGTCACTGTTGCTTTTCGGGAATCAACTAACAAGTACTTGCTTTTTTTTTAATCCGTGTCCCGTTTTGGAAAATGGGTCTCATTGGTTCTGCTCTGCTTTTTTCGCTTTTGCTTCTAATTGCAGGATAACTTGCTGCATTGTTACAATGCAATGCAAGACGGAGCGATGGACGGATTCGGGTCAGCGCTCGATGTTCACTCAAGCTCGGACACGCCCATTAATGTGCTGGACCACCATTTCTCGTGCTCGGACAGTGAGATGACCAATGTCGCAGCCTCCACCGTCAGATCACAGCGAGCCCTGAAGAGAAGAAAAACCCAGTAAAACCCGAAAATAATAACGACTAGTAGTCAACTTGGGGACTCCCCTGTCTCTGAGAAATAGTTAATTGTTTCTAGCGTCAGCGTTGAGAGGCTTCGAAAATGACACCAGCTGGTTCAAAGAACGAAGAGAGATAGAGACAGCGAGAGAGAGAATGGGAAGTGGATGTTTCGAGGGACAAAATCACTGCGACGTGATCTCGGTACGGGCCCCCTTCATTAACGCTCGCTGTGCAAAAGAGGGGTGGTCCGAGCAGGAGCGAAGCGAAAAGTTAAAGTGGGAAGAATTGTCTTTGTTTGGTTTCGGTTTGTTTGGGGAACCAAATGCCGGGACGAAAACGTCACTCTAGGGGTCTGGACAGGAATTTGGTAGAAGGGCTTTTTGCTTGGCCTGGTGTTTCTGTTCTGGGGTCTCTCTGTTTCTCTTGTTCTTTTCTTCTTCTTTGGCGGAGAAAACTAGATGGCAATGCAAATGTGTAAAAAAAAAAAACCAGAGGATTGAACAGGACTTCTCTTGAACTCTTCATCTGTCATGAGCGGAAATCGTTAGGCGAAGGAGGCATCCGATCTAGTTTGTGACATGTGCCTTTCAGGGGTGAGATCACCCACGCTAGTCTAGAGTTCAAAGCTCATAATTCGCTCGCGATATGATCTAATCCTAGCGAATCATCCACACCAACATAACATTAGGAAGTTGCCTAATGGTAATGGATGATCTTGTAGGTGTATGAAGTTGGAGCGAACACTGTGTCGAATGAGTTGGTTAACTTAGAATGAATCTGTAACATGTAGCTATCCTCATATGCTCCCTGATTGCACTGTGGGGCTGTGCTTTTTCTTTAAACGGACTGGATCGAGGCATAAACTCCATATCAGCCCAACCTGAGTTCAAAAGAGAGCTTATGGCCCAAATGAGTTTGGGCTCTCTCCACAGTTTCTTGCAGGCAAAACGCAGAACACAATGGAAGAACTTCAGTGCCTGCTGATGAAAAGTCTCTGCACGGACCATTTCCGCCCGTGATTATGAACTCAAAATATCCGTTTAGACAAGTTCAAGAGACTGACTCTAAGGAATTAAATGATGAAAATGATGTGTGCATCATAATCAACGCACAACACGTGTCCAATACGCCACCACCGAGTGCAAGAGAAACGAAGAATCGCACATCCGAATCTCCTCGGGAGCTTAGGCTCGTGTCTTATCCGATTCACGAAATTACCTCGGCTTTCGGGTTTTATCTATAAGTAGACATTCTGCTTTGCAAAAAATGGGACCGAGGAGATGATTGAAAGCATCGGTCGAGGGTACAATCGATAAATAAAAGATCTTTCAGTTAGTTGAACTCCCTACATGACCTGCCCTGCGATTTGGTTGTTGTTGCCACTTGACTACACATGGATTCGATGCCTAAGAATTTCTTTTTTAAGAAGAAACTATATACACGAACGGCTGGCCACGGTCATAAGAAAGCCTTCTCATAATTACTTCGAGAATCTTGTTTTCTTTTCCTTTTTCTTTTTCCTATCTAATATAGAGTTCATTTTGTGAGAATTAAAGATGGTGCTTCATTTCTTATTTCTGTTCCTCGCGAAGTTCCAACCAGAAAGATGCTGCTTAATATTCATATTGTCCATTGACACTGCCTAAAGGATGGAGATATTGCGTGTGGGTCAACCCACATATGACCTATTAAAAATTCATACTTTAATTGGACTTTACGGTCCAAACCCATAACAACCCATTTCCTAAAATTAGACTAACCCATATATGACATCATATATCGGTTAAGAAATGGACCTTCAACCCATTTTGACACTTCTAATAGTAGTATCCCTTTCATTTTTTTTTATGCACGTAGTGCCACGGACCATGAGCATCATTTATGTTGCCCGTGTTAACATAGCCGGTTTTCGATTTACAGCATTCTCTCACATTACGATTAACTAATGTTGTGATCAATCGTGTCCAAGCTTTCAAATGCGCTCTAAGAAACGCAGTGAAAGCACTCGTTCCCATGGTCCTTACATCACTATGTAATGGAACGGTAGGTGCGTAATTTTACAACATTTAGAATGAACGTAGGGCAAGTGTCCTCAAAAAAGATCATACGAATGATGATGATCAATGATTTCAGGGGGGCCTTTCGACAGCAACCGCAGCTTTTGGCTGAGGACACCTAAGCAAGTAGTGCAGCTCGAGTCCAGCTTCGTGATTGATGATAGTCCCCAGCAACAACAGCAACGGCAACGGCAACGCACGAAAAGCCGATGATCGCCTCATGTCCTCTCAGTTTCTGACATGACTCGTGACAAAATTGGCCCATCTCCGCAACAACCCTTTTCGGCTCATTCTCAGAGAGAGAGAGAGAGAGAGAGAGAGAGAGACTTTGGAGTTTAATTAAGCTTGGCTTTTTGAGGATGTCTCTCATTTTCCTTGTGTCTCCTTCCATGTCGCGTCTCTTTCCATTAAAGGTTTCAATCCGAAGCCAGGGCGAAATGATACATGGGAACTGGGAATAAGCTCACACCACCACACTCCCCAACTCTCTATCAATCTCATCAAATGGATGAGTTGGATCGAAAATTGTCCGTCCCCAAAAAAACCCATTTCTCATCTATTTTCCATGCAATGTATATATAGTAATCCATATCCAACCTGACTCATATTGATAAAACACTTCTATATTTAACTCAAATTAGGAAAACCCTTACTCAAACTGAGGTGAGAGAGCGGAATGGATAAGCGCGAGATCGAATGAAGGTAAGAGAGAATTAAGAGAGTCATAGAGGTAGGTTGGATCTAAGAAAGTTGCAAACTCTTATATGACCCATTTAACACCTATGTTATGTTTTAACATATTTACTGAATATAACTAACCCATATAATAACTCAGTCTACCGTATATGGATTAAGAAATGGATTCACGACTTATTTTGACAGGTCTACCCTTTATTAAAATGTCCTAAGCCGAATAGTTCTTGGTGAATTTTCATCCTCCAACCATCTTTGTCGTGGCAAGCAACGATCTCAAGATTGACTTGGATGGTAAAGACAAAGAGTTTCCTATCAAACATTAGTCGGATGATAAAGTGTCGTTTTTGTGGGATCTCCTAAGCCAAATCGTGGATTTGATTGAGCTTGACTCGTCAAGAGAAGTGAATCAGTTGAGATAGCCGGCCTGTGGTAACCGATAGAACGAAATACAAATAGGTGGTGAGGAAGAAGCAAAACTTTTCGATGTATCAAGTACAAGAAATTGCCTAGTTAATCTAGCGAGCATACATCTCAATCGATTATTTCACTTTACCACCAAAATCTAGCAAGCGTGCGAAAATCAATCTTGAGAAATTGATTGTGGATTTCAAAGACCTTTTTTTATGTCAGGAAAAAAGACTCTTTGTTAGGTCGATTGATTGGAAAATTTGTCTTTGCAAAAAAGAGAAAATGACACAAATTGTTCATAAGCTTCGGTTCAATATGCAATGTCATTCCTGAATTCTTAATTTATTCAATTTAGCCCCTGGATTATATGAAAATATTCAATGTTGTTCCTAAACTTGAATTAATGGAATGACAATATAAAACATTTTCATCGAGTTTTTTTTTTGTTGAGCATTTTCATCTAGTTTAACGACTACATTGAATATGTACCAAAAGTTCATAGATTATATTGAACAAATTAAAAATTTAGAGATGATATTTCATAGACCACATTGCACATTGAGCCAAAATTCATGATTATTTGTGCCATTATCCCTTACAAAAACGAGCTTATAATTCAAAGTTCTTTCTTTAGCCCTCCCCAATATTAGTTTTCATATTTGATATTTCCATGGATTGGAATAGGGCCTGAACTTGTGCTACACGGCCTTGGGGCTTCCAAGCGATCAACATCGCCCAACTCCCCCTTCGTATTAACTCTCAGTCCTTTTCAAATTTAAAAAGTAAAAAAAAAATCTCGATCGCGACTAAACCCACAACCTTAACCTTTCGTCCTTTATTTTTTTCTTTTTGATTTGATTTATGATTAGCCCATTATATAAAATTAAGGTTTTCAAGCAATTTTCGAAAGGGCTTATCTTCTATACACGGGTGCTATGTGAATTAATGCGCAAGCAAGTCTTTTTCTTTTTTTAAATAATAACCATAAATTAAATTTAACGATGATTATTCGTGTGGTTGCAAAATTTAAATGACGGAAATTGAAATATCAAGCGTAGAATATCAAAATGTCATATCTTATCGTATTTTCTTAATTTGGGTCACTATTGTGATACCTGGCTAACATATATATACTCTTGAGATTGAATCCTTCAATCACGGAAAAAAGAATTAGTATATTTCAATTTCGAAATAAGATAAATAAAAAAAGTATTTCGAAGTGTTCTTGCACCTTAGATCGATTTCAAAACAGAAAGTACTTTTGACGCTTAGAATCTCGAGTGTTCTCTTATTATTTAGGAAAAAATAAAATAAAATCTAACTACGATAATAATATCAGACATTCAACTCGAAATCTTAGTTGTTCAGTAATCAAATGTCAACGTTTCTCGCGAACATTATCTTTATGTTAGCAAAGCGAAACAATCATTACATCTAGAAATAAAAAATCATTATAATTATATTATATTATAGTATTTGGTGTGCATAATCATCAACATTTGAATGTCTAGAAATATATTCCTTGTCGTAAAAAAACAGATGCGCCGTTAAATAGAAAATGACAAAAGTTCATTTTGCCAATTTTTTTTTTTGAAATAAATACGAGCCCGAATTCCTCAGTGCAAGAAGCAAAAAGTCTTCTTCTTCTTCTTCATCGGTCAACGCAAAGTAGCAAGCCGGAAAATTTTCCCATGGCGAACCCGCAAACGCTCCCGGAGCCGGACCTCCCGGCCCCTCCGCCGCCGCCGATCCGCACCCACCACGAGTCCCCGACCGCCGGCGCCAGCCGGAAGGTCGCCATCGCCGTCGACCTGAGCGACGAGAGCGCCTACGCCGTGCGGTGGGCCGTCCAGAACTACCTCCGCCCCGGCGACGCCGTCGTCCTCCTCCACGTGAGGCCGACCTCCGTCCTCTACGGCGCCGACTGGGGCGCCGTGAGCTCCCCCGCGGCCGCCACCGCCGCCGACCGCCTCTCCAGGGGGGAGGAGTCGGAGAAGCTGGAGTCCGACTTCGACAGCCTCACGGCGACCAAGGTGAACGACCTGGCGCAGCCGCTCGTGGAGGCGGACTTCCCGTTCAAAGTCCACATAGTGAAGGATCACGACCTGAAGGAGAGGCTGTGCCTGGAGGTAGAGAGGCTGAGGCTGAGCGCGATGATAATGGGCAGCCGGGGGTTCGGCGCGGCGAGGAGGGCGAGCAAGGGGAGGTTGGGGAGCGTGAGCGATTACTGCGTCCATCACTGCATATGTCCGGTGGTGGTGGTTCGGTTCCCGGAGGAGGAGGGCGGCCGGAAAGGCGTGGCGGAGGAGGAAGGAGAGGAGGGGGAGCTGGAGCTGCATCCGGTGCCGGAGGAGGAGGATCTGGAGGATACCGATGCTTCCGACGAGCATAAAGGTCAGTGTTTTCGGCGTTGCTTTCGTGCTTTTCCTTTTTATTCTTCTTTTCGTTTGATTCTGTTTGGCTTGGGTTGGCAATTGGCACTTTTGCTGGCTTTTCTGTGTGGGAAGTTCTTAATCTTGAGTAAAGGTAGGAAATTTTCCATTTTCTTGGTTTTTCTCCTAGACTTACTCGACGGTTCTTTTGCAATTCTCTGTCTCTGTCTCTGTTTCTTTCTTTCATTTCAAGTCTTTCGAGAAAGTTGCATTTTTGCATTTTTCGCCTTGTTGATTAGGTGGGATAGATAGACAGATGGAGGCATAACGAATCTCTGTGTCTCCTTTTCCATGGAGTTGCAAAGGATAGATTGATCTCTGTCCATAATCTAGCAGTTTCCATACTGGTGTTTAGGTTGGGGACCATCAGTTTCATATTTTGGTCGTGAGAATCATTGGTTACCATTGGCTCTAAGGTTTATTCGTGTTCCATCAGATTCTTGTTCTTTGGTGTTGGCTAAGTAGGTATGCAAGTGTAGTCTCGCCATCGTTAGATGTTTGGACTAAAAATCCTGCCTTCTTCGAGAAGTAACAACAAGGGAAACTGAATTTTGCTATTATTGATATGGGAATTAAAGGTTTCGGGGTTGATGACTTGTTAGGCGGGTTGGACTGACAGTTGATTGTGTTCTGTAGCATAATGTTTGATGGGTGTAATAGACTCTTTAAGCCAAGGCTTATATATGCCGAACCCAAAAAAATAAAGATAAAGATTCACCTTATGGTAATATGTTCTGCTTGGCGACTGCCTTCTGGTTACATGCCAGTATGAACAAGTATGTGCAACTATGGGAATGGTTGTGGAGGTTTTTGAGTTAAGGCGATGGTAGATAGATGCAGTGGAAGTGGAAAGACAGAATAAGCGTGAAGCGACAATTTCTTTGTGATCTACTGCATTCATTTCTAGCCCAGGACAAGTTCAAAGTCAACTGATTGAATGTGATAAAAATTCATGTGATATGGTTGATGTGAATTGTTAAGTAGAATATGCATGATTGAACTTATTTTGATCTATTATAGCTTTTTCTCTTGCTGGTTCCTTAACTCAGGTGCTCCATCTACTATAGTTACTGCAGTCCATGTCGTCAGATGGGTCTTTGGGGGCCATGAGAACTTTCGAGCTGGTCAATTTGTCTGACTGAATATCCAGAATTGTAGATACAATCTGGGCTTCAGTTTGGTAGATTGTTAGGGCGCTAATCCTTATAGGTTTAAGTTCGTAATCAGGACCAATGAGACTCTTGTTCCGAAAAATATATCTCCATGTGTTCAAGTTCTTGTCTCTATGGTACTTTTTCCGCTGTCTTTTCCCGTTAACCATGCTATAAATAATGTTATGTAAGAAATTCAGTCTTATGTTGATCCTACCATGTCTGTGGGAATAGTGAATCCCCATGGAGCACCACATCACCACCTTATATTGTCCACCCAAACCAGTCACTTTGTGCCTACTGTCGTGATCATTCTCATTTTTTTCCAAACAAGGAAAGCTTATTTTCATTGCACTTGAATTTCCCTTGAGGAGGTGGTGACATGGTTCTTCTCAAACAACTAAGCATTTCTCTTGTTTGTGGGCTTCTCATTTGTTGGCCTGTCTTACAGCCATAAAAGAATTTCAGTTTTCACAACTTCCACAAATTGATTTACGATAATCATGGGATAACATGTGATGAATTGATTGATGTATAGTCTGTTTTTCCACTCCAACTTTTTTCGTGGGATATCAGAAAATGGATCGAATTCTTTGAATATGTAGCTTGGGAAATTACAAGATGGTTTTTTATATCTAGCATAAATATATTTTTGTTTATCCTTTGACGAGGAGTTGAGATTGCAGTCAAAATGTATTCGAAACTAGCAGTGTTCCTCAAGCATTGTGAGGACATATTGTGGAGTTATAAGGGGAAGTATAGAAGAGAAGCCACCTTATGAGCCCTTGGTGAGAAACCACCTTACGAGCCCTTGGTGACATTATGTTCACCTGGTCCTCATTGCTTTTTGCATGCATGTTGTGAGGAGGCCACTTTATCCTCACATCAAAAGTGCATGAAGATCGGGGAGCTACTAGACCATACATTAGTCAGCATTAGCACTTCTCAAGATAACTGAAGTGCATACGCTTGAGCGAATTAGGTCATTTGGAGTTTGACATAGTTGATTGCACGTGAACCAGTCATATGTGCCTTCTCCCAAGCTGATATTCTTTGACAAGAATTTTGAAAACCACTTAATGTCCTATTACCAGTCAATGCTATCTTCTATTAACTTCTGCAAGGTCTCTGCTACAACACTCAATTCCGTCATCGGTTTCTTTCAATTTAAGGATTCCTCTATGTTTTTTATGCTTTGATGACTTTGCCACGAGGACCAAATTAATTTTATACTGCTGCAAGGCCCGACCAAGGGTAGTCTCTTTATGGTTTCTACTTGTGTTTAAGTTAGTATCTGTCAACTGTCTGGAACCAAAAAATAGATCTATGGAAGAACCAGCAAATCGTGATCCCACTCCCAATCTCCTTTTAAGGATTCAAGCCTCGACTACTAACTTCTGAGAATGGCATTTCTAGCATCTCCATATATAACTTGACTTTATTCTCCCATTCTTGTAGATTTATAAGGAGTAAATGCTGCTTCTGAATGTCTTCTCGGTCTCATGTCAGGTGATCATCGAGCTCCTATCTTAAGTAACACACTTTTCTTAAAATATGGATTGCACTGATTGTGATGTCCGTGGGTTCTTTTGGCATTTACATTACATTTGTATATATTTGCCATAGGAAAATTTATGAATTGAGATAATCTTGACATGCGAGCAACTTGTTTGATCTCCATCGGGGTGAACTATGAGGATGCATCGTTTGACTTCCTATTGCAATCTCTGTTTTCTGGAATCTCTATGGGGTAACTAATCTTTGGATCTAAGGAGTCCTACTCAGATTCACATCACTCTTTTCTGGTGCACAGGGCACTTCCTCTAATTCATCCTTCCTATCTCCTGTTAAGTTTCTTCCCCATCTGTTGAAAGTTGACTTAAAGGTGACTTTGAGTTCAAGAATGTCATACTGATGAGCGCAGTCGATCTCCTTTCGCAGCTTCGCTTTCTTCACATAGAGGCAGAACAACTGCGTGTTCATTTCATAATGTGCTTGAAAACTTGTTTCCTGCAAATATTTTCCTTCAGAATGTTTTTCAGTTGGACTTTGATGTAAAAAAATGATGTCGGGTATTTTTCTCCTTTTGTTGTAATATCAAAGAAAAAGCAGCAAGATATTTCGTTCTTCGACAGTTTACATTAGCCTATCTCGAGAAAAGTTCGGATACAGAAAATAGAAGAGGTACACAATTTCTCAGTGCTTCCTATAACTGTCTGCAAAATTAGAAACTATCAAGACAATCCACGATACATGTCACTGTTGTCCCGATCGGTCCAAACTACATAGTACAATTTCTGCATTTTCGTGTGGGTGGTGGAGATTCATACGCAAAATCCTAGACGGTTGATGCAGAGAAGCGAGAAGACAGAGAAATTCCCGGAAAATGGATTCTAGGAGGGATCATACCATGAAATGTGCCTCATCATAGACTCCGATTCTGGGAACTCATAGTATAGAATTTGTAAGATGATCTACGACGTCTTCTCGGTGCGCCTTTCTCAGCTATATATATATCACATGGAGAGTTCTGGTTTCTGTTCAACATACAAGTCAATGTCAAATGTCCATGAACCTAACTGCTCAGAAGCATTTGGCAAAAGAAAAGGAAATTGCTCGGAAGCAAAGTTTTGTGCGGTAAACAATGTCTTTGCTTTAGGGAATCAGAAAGCTTCTAGTTCTAGGAAACAAGCGATGTCAAATGCTCAGTTCACTAAAGCCTCTATTTCCAATTCCTGCGATTTGGCAATTACTCGAGATTAGGCCCGTCAAACACGTGGGTCAGTTCGAAAATGATCCGATCTAAATTGATCCATTTAATCTGTTTGACCTATTTTTATGAAATACAAATCTAGTGACCTACACTCAATTCATATCCAATCCGATCTATATTCCTAAAACACTATCATATTAACCCAATCTTGTAAACTTATGCCCAAATTGAGGTGAGAACGTGGAGCGAGCGAGCAAGATACAGTCATAGAGGTGGCTTGGGTTTAAGTAAATTGTGAATCCATTTAACATTCATATTATTTTGAGCTTTACTATTATAAACTCATTTATGGCTCATTTACTGAATATAATTAATTCATGTAATAACTCAATCCGTCAAATAAGGATTAAAAAATAGGTTTATAATCCATTTTGACAGTTCTACTCGAGATAATGCATCCAAAAATGACCTTTTCATCACGTTATGTCGATCCTGAAGAGACGGTAATTGATGTTCTAAAGCGATAACGTGATAGGACATCTTGAGATGCTTTATATCACGACTGATAAAAGCTCTCCATCCTGAACAATGCAGAGGTCACATTTGAAAGAAGGCCAAGAACACTACTGTAACATCATTTTCCAGGCGAATAATAAAATACTAAATTTTTGGCCCAAACAAACAACAAGAGGACCAGACATATAGGTAATGTTACCCTTCTGTGTTTTTTTTTTTAAATTCCAATCTAGCCTCAATAATATATATACTGATAATCCTGTTTTAAACCCATGTCGTATTCTGTCTCAGAATTTTGACTGGAAATTCGCGGAAGAGGCCGAGAGACGCCGGTTGAGGGATGCACGATGCCAGGCTCCAGATGTGGCTCTGCTCACCTTATTTAGGTGTATGTTTTCCTTTTCTGCGGATCTAGCTCGCCGACGATCGCACGATGCCAGCCAAGGTTCGTGCGACATCGAACTTTAAATCTAGCTCGCCTTGGTGACATCTCTATTTTCCTTTTTTTTCCATAACTAGCTAAGCCTACAGTCGCATGCCAAGCTCCAAATGTAGCTCCAGATCTAGCTTGCCTTGCCGAGGTCTTTGTTTTTGTTGTTCCTAGATTTAGCTTGCTGACGGTCCCATGGCCAAGGTCTTGCGAGATGCCTGCCGAGGGTCGCACAACTCCAGGCTTTAGATGTAGCTCCAGATCTAGCTTGCGTTGCCGAGGTCACTATGTTCCTTTTATCCAGATCTAGCTCACCGAACATTGCGGGATGCTGGCCGATGTCTCAAGCGATGTCCGTTAACAGCAAGTCTCCTTTGGTAGCTCCAGATAACGCTCAAAGCCAAGGTCTTCTTTTTTTTTTTTCTCCTTTTTACTTCATTTTAAAGTTGCTTTGGCGAAAATGTATCAAAAGCAAATCATCCAAACACTAGTTGCTTTGAGCAAACACACTTTGAGCCAAAGAAGTTAGGGAAATGGAAAATCATATCCTGAAAGCTTTCCCAAACGCACCTGATGTTCGAATCAGCTACTCAGAAAGTTTCTAGGCATAATGAGAGAAAGACTATATTAAAATATGCAAGCAAGCAGATCATAGCTACAAAATAATGGATCACCCGTTGTGACTTAACGTTCCATGCGATAATCGATGATTTAGTGATTTACGTACCAGCGAGCGATGATGACCATGATAGCAGTGATTTACTCATGAGCCGCACCGGTTGTCATAGCTCTTCTAGGGGGAGAAAAATTTTCATGGAACATGACTTTGATTACACTTTTGATACATTGAAAAAGGGGAAAAAGATACTACAAATGTTACAACTTTCGTATAGTGCTCACTTTGATATCAAAACTTTTTTTTTTATCACTTAAGTGCCACCTTAAAAAAAAAATGATCACTTGATTGACAACTTTGATTTGGACCTCCGAAAATCCGATTTGCCAAATTTTTATCATTTTTTTTATCCGACATAGGCCGTCGGCACTCTGACTCAGCCTACATAGCATAAGCAACGTCGCTAAACATGTTTTCCCCAATTTAAAACCCTAATTTGTGGAACAGAGAACCCAAATTACTGTGCTTAGGGTTTGGGCCAGAACCGGACGGTGATGGCTGGCCGCTAGATCTAGATGGCAGTAGCTGGCCATGGACTGCGGCTCCTCCACATAGGTACCTCCGTCCACAACGGTGCCCTCGTCCACGGAAGCTTCGACAATGCTTGGGATGAAACGAGACGTGAGCAGTGTTGAGACTAGAAAGAAAATGATGATTAAGAAGAGAGGTTTGGGAAGAGAGAAGGAACAGAGAGTATGGTGGCAAGCGAGCTGAGCCCGAGAGAGACTGTGTGGAGACAAAGCCACCGTTGCCCGACACTCTAGGAGGAGAAAGTTATTAGTTGCAATGGCATTTACGATAAAGTAGTAGGAGCGTCTGAAATCGAGACCAGAAGAAGAGGACGACAACGAAAAAGAGAGCAAATTAACGTCTTTAGTGACCCCTCGTAGTCTATCATGCGGTGGCAAGCGAAAATTACTCGTACAGATTTGCCCAAGCTTCAAAGTTTCGAGCCATGGCCACGGACAACGATGGCCCCAGATTTGGAATTCGGACGAGCCAAGTTTTGAGGCATCGGT